TCCTGAATTTGAAGAGGTCAAAGCATTATTAAGGCCAAAATGTTGGATGAGTCACTCTAATGAACACTGAAGTCACCCAGCCAAACTGGAAAACTGAGACACAGGTCTTGTCATTACTTGGTGGGTGGGATCTACCAGAACATGATTTCCAGGAAGTGATTAATACTTTTATAACTAAATATAAAAGATTTCCCAAGCTATTGGTCTCCACTCATCTGGGGCAAAAAAGAAAGGATACCAAAGACTCAAAGAACCTAGTCTACAGAACTGTCTACATGAACTACGGCCTCATCTATCCTGAGACTGGAAGAACCAGCTGATGCCCAGTTACCACTACCAACCATTCTGACCAGGGACACAATAGATGGTCCTGGAAAGAATGGGAGAAAATTGTAGAAGAAAACTTAAATTTTTAAAAAGTCCAAACTTACTGGATCAGAAAAGACTAGAGGAACCATGAAACTATTGTCCTCAGAAACTCTCTGAACTGAAACCATCCCAGCAGTCACCTTTCAGCTAAGCAACAGATTGGCTCATAAAATAAACAATATTGCTGGTGAGTACTATGCTCCTTAAAATAAATAAATAAAATCATCTGTATGAGACCACATGGTCAATATTTACCCTAAAACAAAGATGAGAAGGTTTGGGGAATGAGGGGGGGAGACCAGGAAAGCTAGATTAATGGAAATGGAACAATCAGAATGGAAATAAATGCGAATGTTGACACAATGTGGAATATATAACCAATGTCACTGAACAATATGTATAGAAATTGTTAAATAGGAACCTTTCAAGCTGTGTAAACTTTTACCAAACACACAGTATTTAAAAAAAAAAAAAAAAAAGATTTCCCAAGCTTTAGATGATGGGCCATTTCTTTTGAAAGTAATAATTGATTTAGACAACAAAACAAAACCCACTGCCATCAACTCAACTCATGGCTACCCACATGTTAGAGAAGTGCTGCAGAGTCTCCTTGGCTGTAATCTTTATGGAAACAGATTGCCAGGTCATTCTTGTGTGATGCTGTTGGGTGGGCTCAAACCACCCTCCTTTGGGTTAGTTGTCAAGTGCAAACCTTTGTGCTACCCAGGGAACTCCATTTTAGACAGAGGCTCAAAAACCTCCTAAATGGAGTTCATCCAATACATCCACTCCACACTTGCTAACCTTCTCATTATCTGACATTTCACATTTATGATAATGGTAAATCTACTATTCAACTATTTTGTGCATTAACCTGAGTTTCCTCCCCACATTGAGCTCCCAGCCTGCAGTCTGTTAGGCTCTCAAATGCAGCAGCCACATCTCCAGAAGGCCTCTTGCCAGTGCCATCCCCACACCAGAGCCACTGATGCAACTGTAGCTCTTTGGATGGCAAGGGCAGTGGAGGTTGCTGCTGGTTCCCTCTACTCAAGCACCTTAAAGGACCAAGTCCTGCAGAAGGAAGGGTACAAGGGATAATTTGGGGTCTGGGGCAGCAGCAGAAGTCAGCCTCTCCCTCCTCTTCTCTGGCCTGGCTTGCTAAGCTCCTTCCTCTTACTAGCAACTCATGGTTTCCAGGCTCTTAGCCTCAGAGAAAAGCAGTGCATTGCTTATTTCCATAGGGTCCTCCCTGGCCAGGACGAGGGGCTGCAGAGGAGGTAGCTGCAGGGGACATGGGTACGGACAGCAAGACTCACCATCTTCACCACTGGCCCTGAGTCCTGGAACCTTTTAACTGTGCCTTTAGTCCACCCTCCAGGGCCCAGGTCTGCTCAAGCACCAGCTGCAATGGCAGAGCCTTGGGATCCAGAGCACAGTGCTGCTGGAACAGCAGTTCCAAGGGCCCAGGCTCCAGAGTGGGCTTCATGTCCTTCACCTACTTACATAATGTTGATTTTGCATAATGACCTAGTCTTTGGAACCTAACCATGTTGGTAAGTGAGAAGTGGTGTAACATGAATAGAATCTAAGCACAAAGTAGGTTTTCTAGCTTCATGTTTGTGGAAAGTTGTTACATTCAGGCTTTAAGGTATAACTATGGGATGCTGGAAATGAAATTCACAGAATCTTGATCCAGAAAGAGGTAACAGTGCAGATCACTGGGAAAAGGAGGGATTTTTAAGAAATAAGTATTGATTTGGGTTAAATGAAAGGCTATATACCAAAAGTGAGTGACCAGCACAGTAACACTAAGGAAAAGGAAGACACAAAGAGGTGCACAAGAGGTACAGACAACAAAGATAAACACTTTCACATATACAATACTGCATTATCAGTAATAACAAACATTGTTCTAAGGGTGGACACATATGTAGGCAGGCTAAATGATCAGATATGTAGGTAAAAGGGAACATACCCATACCCATATATAAGCTTGGCAGATGGTATCTCTATGTACACATTTATATTTCTATAAAAATGTCCATATATATATAATAGAAATAAAAGGGCAAAGTTACAATAACTTCTTAGCCACAGCCAAACTCCCTGAGGGAGTGAGTTACAGGGCCGGCGGGCTCTTGGATTATGGTCACTGGGGACATCAAGCTCAACTGGAATAACATACTATACAAAACACTGTTCTATATCCTACTTAGGTAAGTTAGCAACTGGGGTCTTAAAAGCTTGTGAGTGGCCATCTAGATGCCAACAACTGGCCTCTTCTCCTCTGGAGCAAAGAAATATGAAGAAAATCAAAGATGTGTGGGAACAATTAGTGGATCATGGTAACCTTAGCCTACACTACCCTGAGACCCAAAGAACTAGATGGTACCTGGCTACACCTGTCAACCACTCAAAAAGGGATCAAAGTAGGAGATCACGGATAGAGTGGGGAAAAACATGGAATAAAACTCACAATCATAAAAAAAAAAGACCAGGCTCAGTGGTCTGACAGAGACTGGTGAAACCCCCAAGACTGTGGCCCCTGTCACTATGGTCACCTGTCAGGCCTGGAACTGCACTCATTCCTGTCTTCCAGCCAAACAGGCAGACCTACAAGGTCAGAAGGGCAACATATATGTACAGGGAGATAAATCAGAGCACAGGAATACATAAGAAAGGACACACGGAAAAGGTAACCAAAGAGAGAAAGTGGGAAGAGAGCTGTTACATTATGGGGACTGCAATCAATGTCATGAAACAAAATGTGTATGAACTGTTAAATGGAAAATGAATTTGCTCAGTAAACTTTCACCCAAATCACAATTTTAAAAAAAAGAGGGATATTTATCAATAAATGTTGATGTAACAACTGACTTTCCAAGCTAAAAAATTTAAATTAGATCCCCAGCTCAGCACATATAAAAATCAATTCTAGATGGAATAAGGAACAACCATGTGAAAGTCAAAACCAAAACTTTAACAGAAAATACCTCTCTGACCTCTGGATATGGAAGAGTTTGCTAAACAAGGCACAAGAAATATTAACCTTGAAAGAAAAGACTGAGAAATTTATCTAAGTTAAAATTGAGAATTTTGTTCACCAAGTAATTTTTTTTTTAATTTGGATGAAAGTTTACAGAGCAAATTCACTTTCCATACAGCAGCTCACATACACCATCTCATGACATTGACTACAATTTACCACAATGCAACAGCTCCCCTCCCACTTCCTCCCCATAGTTACCACTTCCCTGTGTCCTTTCCTCCTTGCACTCCTGCCCCGAGCTGTCTCCCTATGCATACACAGCCCTTCTATTCTCCCATGATTGATCTCTCCAAGGAACATTTACCTATTGTAAATATTCAGCTCATATACCTGTCTTTTGTTTGGCTGGAAGAGACAGGAGTGGGTTCAATTCCAGACCTGAAGGGCAACTAGAGGCCATAGTCTCAGTGGTTCCATCAGGCTCTATCAGGCCAGCAAAACTGGTCTACCGCCCCCCCCCTTTTCTTTAATGATTTTGAGTTTTCTTCCACATTGTTCTCCCACTCTATCCAGGATCTCCTACATAGATCCCTCTCTGAGTGGTTGACAGTGGTAGCCAGGCACTTCTGGTCTCATAGTCGTATAGGCTGAGGATTGCATGGTGTACCAGTAGCTTGGACTGTTTCCTTGAATCTTTGGTTTTCTTCATTCTTCTTTGCTCTGGACAAGGAGAGACCCATCATTGTATCTAGATGGCCACTTGCAAGTATTTAAGATTCCAGTCACTACTCCCCAAAGTAGAATGTGGAACAATGTTTTGGGTAATATGTTATGCCAGCTGAGCTTGATGTCCCCTCCAACTATGTTCCGAGCCCACAGGTCCAACTACTTGCACCTTCAGGGTAGCTATCTGTGGCCAAGAAGTGATTACAACCTTGTCCCTTGTCAGCTCTACAATATACGTAGTTCTTACACCACCTACCAATATACTTGTAGAAACACTGTCTGCCAACCCTATACATGGTCTTGGGCAAACCCCCCCTCCCCTGCACAGACATACCTAATAGTTCAGCCTGTCCACCCATCTATCCACCCATCTATCCATGTTTGCATTCACTGACAACACAGTACTGTACATGCAAAAGGGTTCATTTTTGGTATCTGTACCTCACATGTACCTGTTTTCCTGTTCCTCGATGCTACGATGTTGATAACTCACATTTGGTACATTTCCCTTCTCTTCACCCAAATCAATACTTGTCTCCACCTATCTAACAGTGTTCCCTCCCCTCCTCTCCCACCCCTGGTAACCAACAAAGAAAATTTCCATCCATATATAAACTTTTCCTTGACTTTTTACAATAACAGACTAATACAATATTTGCCCTTCTGTGACTGAGTTATTTTTCTCAGCATAATGTCCTTCAAATTCATCCACATTATGTGGTGTTTTCCATATTCTGTGTTATTCTCACAAAAGAAATCTTTTAAACAATGAAAAAACAACTCCTAACTGGGAGAACATATTTTCAATATAGATAATAATCAATGAGTATCAAGAAAATTTAAAGAAAACCTAAAGGACATTAAGACAACCCAGTAATAGTCTCTGCAAGCCACACGCCTGCAGCGTGCAGTGAAGATGGCGGCTGCTGCAGGAAGGTTACTCTGGGCATCGGTTGCTCGCCAAGTGAGCACCATTCCTCGGGGCATTTCTGCCTCTGCAGCCCTTACACCTGCTGCTTCTGGAAGTAAGTGCTTGACAAACCCTTTGTGGTCTGGTTCTCATCAAGCAAAATGCGCCTTCAGCACCAGTTCTTCTTCTCTGGTTCCTGCTGTCACCCAGCATGCGCCCTATTTTAAGGGCACAGCCGTGGTCAATGGAGAGTTCAAAGAACTGAGCCTTGATGACTTTAAGGGGAAGTTACTTGGTGCTTTTCTTCTACCCTCTGGATTTCACCTTTGTGTGTCCTACAGAAATCATTGCTTTTAGTGACAAAGCCAACAAATTTCATGACGTGAACTGTGAAGTCATTGCCGTTTCGGTGGATTCCCACTTCAGCCACCTTGCATGGATAAATACACTGAGGAAGAATGGCGGTTTGGGCCACATGAACATCCCAGTCTTGTCAGATTTAATGAAACAAATTTCCCGAGACTATGGCGTACTGTTAGAAAATCCTGATATTGCACTGAGGGATCTCTTCGTCATTGACCCCAATGGAGTCATCAAGCACTTGAGTGTCAATGACCTCCCAGTGGGCAGAAGTGTGGAAGAGACACTCCGCTTGGTGAAGGCATTCCAGTTTGTGGAGGCCCATGGAGGAGTCTGCCCGGCAAACTGGACACCTGATTCTCCGACAATCAAGCCAAGCCCGAGCGCTTCCAAAGAATACTTTGAGAAAGTAAACCAGTAGGGTGTCCCCAGGCACCTGTAGCTGCTCCCACCAGAGAAAAGACCGCAAGTTGGAGCCTGCTGTTGGCGTTTCAAAGGTGGTTTATAGAAGGCAGAAAAAGAAAATTGTGCTTGTGCTCGTAAATACTGCTCTACACAGCTTGTCTTTGTAACACTGGTGAAGGCTTTTTACACTTGGTTAGATACTCACGTGAGGAGTCTCTTACTTTTCACATCTTGGTGGCTACTTAGAATGTCTCACCTCCTTCTCGAGTCATGTCTTCCATGGCACAAAGAAGCACGCTTCTGTCTTAGCCTTACTTGAACTGTGATGTACACCAGAGTAGTGCAACACACGTTTAAAGTTTCTGATCAACGTCCTGGAATTGTCTTCTTAAATTTCTTTATATGAAATGGAATTTTTTAAGGTAACAGAGGTCACTGTGTTAAGTTGGTGGCATCAGCCGTCTAATTTAACTGTTGCAATGGATGTGCTATATGATTGACACAAATGTGAATCATGTTTTGAAGAAAACACTTAAGGTAGCAAAGTGACTTAACTGATCATAGGTGACCTCTGCCCCTGAGATCATGTTTACATAGTTATTTTACTTAATCCACTGATGAACTGACTTAGTGTCTACATACATTTCTAGATACTGATTGGGTATAATTAATACAGGATATTTATTGAGTTCAGGAATGGCATTTTGAACTCATTATAATTATTTTCTTCCTTGACATGCTCAGTATAAAGTATGTAATGAAAAATAAACATTTTAAAGTAAAAAAAAAAAAAAGACAACCCAATAGAAAATGGACAAAAGACATAAAAAGGTACTTCATAAAAACAGGAATATGAAGGCCTATTAAAAAACAAAAACAAAATCAAAAAAACTCAATCTCATTAGTAATCAGGAAAATGCAAATCAAGACAATAGTAAGTTATCATTTTATCCTCATTAGATTAGCAGAAATCAAGACACTGGAGAGGATGTGGTCAACAGAGATTCTTACACTGCAGGAAGGAGTGCAAAGAGGCACAACTGCTTAAAAATACAAATTGGCATCATCCCAAAGAAACCCTTGCACAGGTGTATCACAAGATATGTATAAAAAAAAGTCTGATGTAGCCCTGTTGGTAATAGCAAAATAACTGGAAGCAATGCAAATGTCCATCAACAATAGAGTGGATAGACTGTGGTATGTCCACACAATGGAACACTGTGCAAGCACAGCAGCTACATGCAACAACTTTCATGAATTTCAGAAACAAAATGTTTTGTTATAAAAAGCAAGTCCCAAAAGACATACTATAAAACCACTTTTTATAAAAACAAAGAAAACTAAACATTCTGATTAGGGATCTGTGTATGTATGAGGAAAAAAAGGAAATGATAAAGACAAAATTCAGAAATAATAGTCATCTCTGAGGGGGATGTAGAAGGATGGGTTCAAGAAGGCACACCTAGGTATATGCATGGCATTAGTGATACTCTAGCTCTTAAGTGGTTACACGAGCAATCATTTTGTTATGCTTCATCATTTATATAGATCTTTTCATTTGTCAAATATTAATTACCTATTTTAATGCAATAATCAGGGAGCTCTGGTAGCATAATGGCTAAAGCACTTGACTGCTAACCAGAAGGCTGGTGGTTCAA